TTTACTACTGATGCTGAATATCTGAAGATGGGTATTACTTCAGTATTAATTCTTGTAATATAACTTCTATTACTACTTTCATCAGTATTTATCTCTTCCATTTTCTTCATCATCTTTTCTTTGATGATTTTACAATTGAAGGTATCATTAATTTCATCTGACTGCCATACTCCTAAATATTTATACAATTCCTCTCCTTCAATTATTGGGATGTTTTGCATTCCATCTGGTATTTTATTAATGTTCTTTAATACCATTCCTGATTTATTTTCATTTCCATCCTTATTCCACTTATTATTTGTTTAATTTCATTGTGGATTGTTCCCATTTCTTCACTACTTTGTGTCATTATTCTCAATTCATCCATATACAATGTATGGTTTGCTTTTGGGAACTTCTCTTCTATGATTTGAGAAATTACATTCATTTGGATGATGAAGAGTAGAGGGGATAAGGAATCACCTTGTAAAATTCCTCTCTTCAATTTAATACATCCTAGATATTCATTATATTTATATCCTATGAATATCTTCCATCTGTTCATCATACTTTCTACAATGTCTATGATGACTCCCTCTACATTAAAATATTTAAGTGTTTCTATTACCCATTCATGATTTACTGATTCATATGGTTTCTTAATATCATAATATGACTCTACATATTTTGTGTATTTCTCTTCTTTTTACTGCTTTAACATATAACTATTAATTAATCCTTCTTTAGCAGCAAGAGATTGCAGTTTACATCCCAATTGATTTTTACTAATTTTTAGTGATTCACTATTCATGTTAATTCTATTGTGAATCTTATCTTTCAATATGGAGGTAAATACTTTCATTATTACATTTGTACAACTGATAGGACGATAATTAGTGACATCGTTCCTATCACCTCCTTTGTAGATTAATATAGTTCTTCCACTTACCATGTCTAGAGGGATGTTTTCATTGAAGTTTAACCATTCATTGAAGATATTAAGAATGGAATCTCTTGATGATGACATTCTCTTCTAATAATACCCATATATAGTGTCAATACCTGGTGATTTCCAATTACTTATTTTCATCAGGCTTAGATTTAGTTCATCCAATGTGATGATGACACTATCATAATTTCTGTATCTTTCATTCCACGAGGTGATTTGTTTTATTTTCCAATGTTCCTTATTTAATACCACCTGTGTTTCATATAACGATTTCAAATATTCTAAAGTAATATCGTTATTTGGGTATATTTCATTTTGTGTTTCTTCTTTATTTTAATTTTCTTATTAGAATCAAACATGATTTTATTTGTATTGACTCTGACATTTTCATTCTTATTAAATTTAATTCTTTCTTTAATCATCGTCATCATATATTTTAGGTACTTTATTCTTTCTTGTGCTTTCATTTTAATTTC